CCCCCAGCCAGCGCAGCTGCGCTGGCTGGGGGATTCTGGGAGTTGAAGTCCACAGGACTTAAAGTCACCAAGGTTGAGAAACACTGAACTATAACTTATTTTTACTGTTTACTTATTTAATATTTTAATATGTATTAATAGCTCTACATTCCTATCTTAAGCACCGCAGTGATTCACTTAATCAGCCTTTGGCCATTCCGGTCATAAAACGCAGCGAAACTCACTTAACAACGGTCCTGCTTAACCACAGAAATCCAGGGGTCGGTTGTGGTCGTAAGTCCAGGGCTGCCTGTATGTCTGTGCGGATCGGTTGATGGGTCATCAAATGGAGCCTTGACTTTTAGCAACCAGTTTTTTTCCCCGGGGTGGTGGGGGTGGTGGGGTTTGCCCCCCCCCCTTTCTGGCCTTTCTGTGCAGCCCCCGCCTGCCTCCCACTGAATTCAGGGGGCCCACCGTGAAGGGCCCCTTCCTGGGCTGCACGGATGACTCCAGGGAGGAGGGGAAAGAGCCCCTTTTCTGCTGCAACCCACCCCTTTGCTGGAGGGGGGGGGGCTTCCTACTCCTTGGCCTGGACTCCCCCCCCCCCGGTGACTCTGTGTTGCATTACCCATGGCAGAATCGCAGAAAGAGGAGGTGCAATCAGGGCCCCCCTGCTACTCACTGCAATTCTTGGGGTTGGGGGGCAAATTGTTCCCTCAAAGGAACGGGAGGGGCATCGCTCCCGGCCCCCAACCAGCTGAGCCAAAGTCAACTGGAGCCATTTCAGCATTTCAGGCTTTAGTGAGCAATTCTACTATCTTTTGGGCCACTTGGGGGTGGGTGGGTGGGATCCATTTCCCAGCCAGGCAAGGGGTCCCATCCAGGCCCCCAAAGGGCCTCCAGGGTCCAAGCAGGCTAAAGCAAAACACCCCCTACCACCCGCTTTGGACTGACCTCAAGTGGCCATGAGATGCTCCCCTCTGTCTTCCTTTCCCCCCACCCATCCCATGACTCCCAGTCCTGCAGGATCTCTGGGAGGGGTACCCAGGCATGACCCCCACCCCCCCGCTCAGCCCGAGAGACACAAAAAAACACCAGCCAGGTACAAAAAAGCAACGAAGGTGTATGAAAATCTCTGTAGACAAAAAGGCATTTCTTTTTCCATCGAGTAAGGGTCCGAGTAAGCCAGAGGTGGGTTCCTCCCGGTTCACGCTGNTCTTCATATGTTTTAGCCTCCAGTCCCCTAATCCTCTTTCTTGCTCTTCTCTGCACTCTTTCCAGAGTCTCAACCTCTTTTTTACACCGTGACAACCAAAACTGGATGCAAATATTCCAAGTGTGGCCTTACCCAGGAATTATAAAGTAGTATTAATACTCAAATATTGGAAGATGTTGCCATGCCCCCCTTGGTCCTTCTTTTCACTAAACTAGACATCCCCAGTCCTGCAACCGTTCTTCTCCATACTTTCCAGTCTCTATGATCCATAAGGCTGGGCTGAATGGGGGTGATGGGTAATGTAGTCAACCTATTATCCCACCAGGAGGTCTCTGGCGTCTGAAGACCAGCTTACCGTTCTGTTCAGAGCATCCCACTGGGTAGCGTGTGCAGATCGCCTGTGATGCCCTCCTTGCAGAAGGGAGGAGGGCTAGCTTGGCATCCTTGTTTACTCTCCCCCAGGGGCATCGGGGCCTTTGCAAGTCCTGCAGCTCTTCCGGGATTTATGTTTCCCTGGCAGTTTATCCGAGGGAGGCTTTGAGTGTCAGAAACTGGCCTGAGAGACAGGAGCAGAAACCCCTTCACAAACAAGGAGAGGCGTCCTCAGAGCAGAGACCCTCCTTGGGATGGTTTTCCTGTGGCTCTGGGGGTAGCTCTGCCCCCCACCTAGTTGCCCCCTTCTCTTCTCTCCCCACAGGCCTTCCAGGACTGCGTCCAGGATCTGGTGCGGCCATTTCGGGACGATGCCATTGACCAAGTGGTTGGCATTGATGCCATGGGGTTCATTCTGGGTAGGTCTGCCTGGCTTCTCTTTCACTCCCCCTCTCCCTCACCCAAGTGCCCAACTGGGGAGGGGGAGACACCCATTCACAGGGCAAGCCACTAGATAGAATATAAACTGAGAGTCCATCCCACTCCCTGATGATAAGACTGATGATGTTACCTAGTTGGGTCATGAAACGTCTGCAAGGAAACCACCAAGCTCAGAGAGGACCAAGGACTCCTCCTCCTCCTCCTCTTCCTCCTCCTCTTCCTCTTCTTCCTCCTCCTCCTTCCTCCTCTTCCTCCTCCTCCTCTTCCTCCTCCTCTTCCTCTTCTTCCTCCTCCTCCTTCCTCCTCTTCCTCCTCCTCCTCTTCCTCCTCCTCTTCCT